GCCTATCCGGAGATCGTGTTGAAGAAGTAAATCCATCATTGGTTCCTCGGTAATACCTAGTAGAAACAAAAGCTTTGGTTTGATGTACTGTCTTACAATAGAAGTATGACCTGGACCAAACTTATCCCAGTTGACACAATATGTAAATACTGCAACATGTGACATTGAAGTACGGCACAAGTATTGAGTTTCCTCATCCGAACTTTGGGCTTTGCCACACACAGAAAAGACTGCTTGTCAAGGATCAGCTATTGGCAACTAGAAGGTCAGTTCGTTTTCTGTTTGTAGCGTAGATGTTTTCTCGGTTGTAAATATCTCCGAGATCTTGTAACTTCACTATCACTGGTAAAACCATATTTGTTTCTATGCTGTTTTGTTTCGCCAAGTTGTTCTGATGGCTTGATTCAAGACTCTCACCTGCGCTATTAGCCGGAGCATTCTACGAGCGTTACGTTGGAGAGACGGAGCGTCCTTGAAAACGGCATGTCTAGGGAAATCCGCTTGTCAAATTGCTACCAACATAAAATATTGCCATATCCTATCATAACAAGCCCCCCCCCCCTCCCCCGCCTTATCTGACATGATACAACCTTGTTCCGGCACCTATGCATTAACTACCGTCTCTCCACTTGGAAATCCAGCCTCATATTGCAACACCAATTTAACACCTGCTCCCGGTGCTAACCTCACATTCCAAAGGACTTCTCCACTCTTCTTCAATTCTGCATCGGCCGTTCCCCATGCATCGGATTTTTTACTTCGACGGACAAGTTCACCTCCACTACTAGAGGCTCTCTCCCTATCTCTGTCTCTTTCCCGCTCCCGACCTCCTTGAAGCATCTCATCATCCAAGTTCAAGCCCGTAGGAATTCTATCACCATCAGGCTTCAAACCTCGAGGGACCAAAACCTCGACTCGGAGTCTCTCTTCTTCGGAAACAGGCACCTGATCCATAACTAACAGACTGACACCTCGTTGCATTCTCGTGTTGCGTAAGGACAAGGAACGTAAGAAGACATTGCTGTCTTCTTTTGAAAAGATCCCGCTTTGCGAACGTCGTACCTCGGGCTTGTTATACACGACCTTGATAGCTGGATCAACACCGAGGTTCAAGCTCAGGCTTTCACCAACAGAACATCTCGGGAAGGTAGCCTGACCTAGAAAGCTTCCATCCAAATTCAATCCCACTGGGCCTGCTAAGAGTGGAATTTTCGATGAATTTCGTAATTTGGCCTTGAGGAATGCAACCGTTCGAAGCTTAGGTATGACTACATGCTCAAATCCAATATTCTTAAACTCAATTTTGGCAATCTTATGCTTAAGGACAGAGTTCGAGGGCATGAGGGTTTTGAGACCAGGAAGATCATAGGTGGTAGACATGCCGGACTCTTCCCAAGCCCCTTCTTCGAATGTAAGGGTGGGCTTTGGTGAAAGAAGACGTTGATTCAGTGGGGTTTCGAGAGCGCCGGTAGGATCACCTATCTCTGATCCAGGCGCGGAGACATTGGCGCTATGCTCTGAATGTATGAGAGGCTGGACGCTACTAAGGAGAGGGTTACCTTGAGCTGGTTGGTTGCCAGAGTTCTCGGCAACAGACTCGGAGTTGTTGGTTGGAGATGGACGCAAGGACCCAAATAAACCACCGCTAGAGACGGGATTTTGGGATTGACCAGGGGCCCCAAATAAGCCACCAGTAGGGGCAGGATTCTGGGATGACACATTAGATCCAAACAGAGCACTGGCGCTGGGCCCTTGAGATGGTGCAGTAGATCCAAATCCCGCAACTGGTGGAAACAAATTTTGTTTATGGTGGGCCGAGGTGTTGCCAAACAAATTGTTACTCGGGAATCCACCTTTGTTTGCAAATGCATTGTTGGTTGGCTCGAATCCGAAGAGGAGATAGCGAGGTTGCTGGAGATGTTGATTATTTTTATCAGCCCATTCCGTTCTCTTGGCTGCAATTTCACTGGTACTGAAAAGAGCGGCTTCGGCATTTCTACTACCTCCTTTCAGTAGTCGCACGTTCCATGGGGGCAAGGTTGGGATGGATTCATTAAAACTAGTAATGGATGTTTGAGAAGTTGAGAGAAGAACTTTGGCATCGCGCCACGTTTCTGAAGTCATATTCTTCAGCTCGGCCGCATATTCTAATACACCCGTGCTAGTCAAGGTATTAAGGCTGAGATCGTAGCGTGGAGACCAAGAAACTTCATAGGTAATGTAAGAAATTGAGAGGCTGATGATATCTGTAGCTCGACGGCTAGAGACTTGGTAGTTGTTGACAGTCATGTCACTAGCTACCGAGCTAGGACGGGATGATCCAGATGTCATAGCGGAGCTCGTAGGCTCAATACTAATTGTGACACGATAAACTTTCTTTGGCCAGAACAAACTTCTCTCTGACTTGATACGTAACTTTTCTTTTGCCGACTCGGCATTCTTTCGAGATCTGGTCGCTTGAAGCTTAATTTTTTGCTTGAATGCTTTCCGTTGTGCCTTCGTTCGTGCTTTTGTTAATTTACTTTTCTCTTTCATCAATCTAACAATTTCATCTTGCGTAACTTCCAAAGCAGCAGTTGCAGCTACATGTTCAACATAAATCTTCTCGCGTTCATCGCGATATGCTTTGATGAGTTTCTCGAACTGTTCGGGCGATGGGGGATTATCGCGAACTGTAGCACCATAATCCTCACAAATCTTCAGACGACTCGCGACAGAATTGATCTTTTCGGTTTCTTGGGCAAGCAAACGATTCACTTGCTTGATTTTGGTATCGACAAGCTTCATCGATTCATCCTCAGAGTCGGAGGAATCATCATCTGTTTCTTCCTCAAGCTCAGAGTCGGATGAATACACTTCTTCGTAAACATCACGGTTAGGTAGAAGATCCACCGATACCTCAGTGATGGTGGCTGAACCATTTCCTTCAACTTTGATGGAGTGTTCATCGATGGTTGGAGCAAGTCCATCGATGATGATTTGATTGGTTCCGGTCTAAACTCCGTCAGCATAACGAACCACGGTATGTATTCAAATTTCTTACCTGTAATGTGATATCTCTGATATCACGAACGATTTGAGCTCTAGTTGGAAAGATCAAAACACTTCGAGTGCTTAAATCTCGAACACGAAATTCTTGTTTGCTTGACATTTTGGCCTAATTTTCTGGGGTTGTTGTCGACGCGTGTTAACCCGTCGTAGAGTGGGGATTCCGCTGGGGATTCAGCTACAGAAAATTTCACGGACAATGAGGAGAGTGTTAATAGTAGATTTTGATGAAGGGTAGAGATGAAAGAAAAGATGAACAGAGATGAGAAGTTCCTTCTTCCCTCAAATCCTTATATTCCGTTCTATCGCCCGACGCTCAATTTTGACGTCCGATGTTCATATTTTGGTAGAATTTAGGGTATCAGTGGATGTCAGGCAACTGAAAGCTTTACCTTTTGCCCCGCATATTGATGAACTTACGATTTGTGTGGCCAATCAACAATTATATATCACGTTGGAACCCGCGGCTGTGTTCCACTGCGAGGCAACACGAACAAGGAAACGAAGCAAAAATGGAAAATGTAAGACAGAATAATGGCAACTTTTCGGTTGAGTCATATTTACCTGGATAGGCGTGAATAGATAATCAGCCTGAGTTTGAAAAGGATAGATATTAAGAAAATTCAAAGCTGTAAAGGTGTCTCTACTGCGTAGCTTTTATATAAAAATCTCTATGAAGTGCTCGAATAGCGGACAAGAAGAGGAGAAGGGGAGAAGCATTATTAGGTGTGGCGATGTCCTATTCGTTGTTTGTGGCGAGTACTTCGTAAGGATGGATCTAGTGTATAGTGTATTTGAAAAGCGGTGAATCATTTCGTCGTGGCAGAATATTCCAAATTCACTTCTCCTCTCATTTGGTTCAAACCCTCTCTTCTTAAGCACTAGGTACCCCTTCTTTCCCTCGCTTGATTTATTCCGTGTTCTTGTTTGTTCCCTTCAGAAAATGATAATACCTCTCAAAGTAAACCCATAGTTAGTGCCTGGATTAAGTTGGGTTGTGTCATTGATTTGATTGAAAATAAGCCACCAGACACCACGAGGAATTTGTCAATCTGAATCAGACGATACCAATCAACATGAGGGAATTTATCTATACAGCTATGGAACGAGGAAACGACTTTTATGTGGTAAAGATCGAGCCACAAGCATATTTGCCTATCAAATGCTCCCCTTCCCAACCAATAGAATCATCACCTCCCGTTCAGCGGTTTAGCATTGCATGCAAGAGGGAAACAAGATGTTCAGAGTATGGCTACATGGACCATTAGCTACTTTCAGTAATACCAATCATAGACTATGAGGAAATTCCCGGTTCTAAGCACGACATCGTTAATTGATGGTTCGTAAGCAGATATATTTCCAAGCAGTTCTTAATGTTGTATATACCTACATACAGATCTTTCTCCATCAAATTGGAAGAGTATTTAAAAGAGATCCCATACCAACTCAAAAAGTCTCATATCAGGCACTTTTTGCACATTCACCTCTAAGAACTAAGGAACCTCTGGGATACAAACATTTCGTAGTAATATCAAATCCATTCTTGAGTCATCATGTCGAACATTGTCCTCGTTCCCGGTGGTGGACCCAATACTGGACTCAACATCGCTCGTGTTTTCTCATCGAAAGGATCATACAAGACCGTGATTGTATCGCGGAATCCATAAAGAAGGCTCATCAAGGCGACTGATCTTTCCATCCAAGCCGATTTCACCGATCGCAAAAGCATCAAACACATTTTCGATGAAGTGAAACAGAAATTCGGTGTTCCAATTGTTGTTGTTTACAACGGTTAGTCTTTATATTCTAGTATTGGAGTCTCAGTGGTCCAGGCTACAACTCGATTGTTCGAGACTATCAACATTGAAGTTGCTACACATAGTTGATGCGTACAAAATTTTTAAGCAGTCTGAATATCGAACACCCCGAAGCCAAATCAATGAAAACTGTTGATGAATAGAAAAGCCGCAGCATTAACAGTCACTCCTGATCCTCTCTCTATGCCATTGGAAAAGTTTAATGAAGACCTCAACGTAGTCATTACTTCAGAATATGCTGCTGCACATGAGGCTGTAGAGGGATTCAAAACTCTTCCCGAAGTTACTAATAAGACATTGATTTACACCGGAAATATACTGAATCGTCAATTCATCCCATCATTACTTGCCTTTGGCATTGGAAGTCTGGTGCAGCTCATCTTATCCAAAGTGCTGCAGAAGTGTATAAGAAAGATGGATACAGGTGCGTGAAAATCATACGGAATTGTAAATGAATTTGAATTGACACATCAAAGGTTCTATTGGGCAGACGAACAAACGACAGAGGGAGCGTCTAAAGGAAACGCAATTGATGGTGAAGCACATAGAGAATTCTACTATGAATTGGCGACGAGTGAGGAGCCTTTGACTTGGGATGCCACTTTCGTAGCTGGAAAAGGCTATGTTGACTTCAATTGGAAATTCTAATGATTGGAGATAAATCTCCGAAAGGGCCTGAGATCAAAAAAGTTATCATATCGTTATCATGTGGTTCAAAAGCAAATGTCGAACGAAAATCCTTACCATTTGTTGCTAAAGGCTTACGGTTGTGTAAAACTCTCTTTAGCAGGATACCGAGGATACCGAGTGTAGGTACCAATTATTATCGTTGTCATTAATCAGTCAACCACCTGATGATAAATATAGAATGAGTATAACCGGTAGACTTCTTGAATCATAGTTGTGTGAAATCTGCACAGTACCTAGGTCACCCCTACGACTCACGTGTAGAATGGCATGACCACGTGACTCTCAACGCCATCAGCATGTGCAGAAATTGAACCAGAAACAATGTAAAGCAATGAGAACTTTAAGGAAGCACAACGCGTCTCGAGGGCATCAAATAAATAAAATACACAAAAAACAGGTAAACATTGTGTATTCTGCGTGTGGACAATCAGAATGAGTCAGCCATATGTGCAGTGATTAGCAATGAGGTGGGTGGCAAGTGATATTCAATCAAAGATACAGATCAACCTTACTGATATTCTGCTTCCAGCCATCCGGTGTGTACATTTATGTATATACTTACTTGTGCAAGAAGTAACTGTCAGATAGCTGGCGCTTCACAACGGTAGAATTGCAAAATTCAACCTTTTGGTTGGTCTTCTGATTCGATTCAGAAGATCCCAAGACGCCCATGAACAATCTTTGATTGATATGTCTTCGCTTTCCTAATTCCGACCCTCCTAATTTCAAACCGCCTCTCAAACATAGAAGTAGGAACAAATAATCTCCCGCCTGGTTCACTATTTCCCGAAAGGATCGGATCATGAATATCCACCTGTCAGCAATCCATTTGGACGAGTATCCAACAGCCTTGAGTTATCATATTTTTGATTTGATCACGGTCCGGGCCAAGTTGGTGCGTTTTTTGACTCTAATACTTGGTATACCTAGCCATTGAGAACTTTCGGTATGGTTGTTATTGTTCTCTTCTTCGTTGTACTAAGCAATTGAGGATTCCTATCCATGCTTCCCGCTCAAGACAGATGACACAGCTCATGAGAAATGGCAGATGAAATCGATTAGCAATCTATGCATGAATGTATCATATCTATGTCTTGAATTCATGAAAGTTCATTCTCATTCCAATTCTATTCATCATAAACCCAACTCAGTACCCCCTTTATATTGTAGACGTGGGACAATGAGATGGCATATTGACTATTAAATGTAACTTCTCTATTGCAGTCTATAAAGAGCAAATTACTTCCGAATGGACTAATTTGACGAAGAGATTCTCAAAAGTATCAGAATGTCAAGTGTCTTCTGACAGAATCCAATCCTTCAATTCGCCTTTTCTTGTCTCACAATTTGAGTTCCATTTGCGATTTCCCCATATGATATATCATCTGAAGTGGAACATGATTAGTTGAGTGCTATGCACATTCATCATCGGCTTTGTGTGTCATGGTACATGAGAGGATCCGGTTACGAATTTCCTGGTTTGGAGCACATTGGTTGAGTTCATCCGGGTCGCCCAAATTTGTATGCCATTTTTCTTCAATATTATCTATAGTTGAGCGGCAAAAACTTTTCACACTGCTCCCGAGTTGGACAGGGTCCTACCCATAAATTTTAAAATTCATCCATTTGCAAGGGATTCTACCCAAGCGACTTTGCATCATAAACCCACGCAGGAGTGTATCTTCCAACTTTGAAGTATGGCTGGCACTACAGGTAGCTACTCATGGTGTTTATGCTCATCAAATCTACCAAGGACCACGTATTAGGATAATTATTGAGCCCCCATATGAACATCTCAAATGCGACAATTCTCTGCGATTGTTACAAGGGAAGGTTCCAAAGTTCAAGCTGTTGAAAATCATACGGAGATCTGAGTACAATATACCAAATTTTGATAAAAGCTTCTTTATTATTTCCAAATGATATCTTTTAACGCCGATAACCTAGCCATATGCTCTTCAAATTGTGTTGTGTAACATGCGACTGAAATTATCAGGACATCCACTCGTGTTCAAGACACTCCTCAACTGTCAACCTTTTTTCAAACTCTTTTTCCAACATTCTCACCAAAAGATCTAATACTTCTTGACTGATAGGTTGACCCAGTGGACCCATTTCCATATCGAGGGACACTTTGTCTTTTTTGATCATCGAAACCGTCTTTTGCTTCCTCTTTCTCTCATCATCCGCTGGCTCAGCGGAATCGAAAGGAAGATAGCCCAATAGGCAGTGGAAAAGGGAGACTCCTGCTGCCCAAATGTCTACCTCGAATCCTAGACCAGTAATTTGAGGTTCATTACTGAAGCATTCCGGTGCCATATCTTGATAAGTTAGCAAATAAACCGACAGCAAGTGTAAAACCCTAGTTGGTAACGAACTAGCACGGAGGCACGGTGGTTTGGGTAGGGTTTTGATGGTTCAGACTCTTTCTAATTAGGAGTAAGTCAACTACCCCACTTTCCGACCACCCCCTGTTTCCGACCACCTAAAAAATTCATATTATCTACACTTAAAACTTTAATAACTCAATAACTATTGAACTTCAATGAAATCGCCTGTAGAATCACTTTCTATAGCACTAGAGCTATCATCTACCTCATCTTCACGATCTCCAGCTTCAATTTGTGTACGCCTTATAGCTCTAATCCCTGCGAACTTCGAATTTGGAGATACCACAACCTTTCGCCTTTTTCTAGGTAATGCTTCATCTAATTGATATTCTAGCTTTCTAATCTTATTCTCTGCCTCTAAGAGTTCATAATCCTTAGCATCGAATCCTTTTATAATCTTGCGAAATAGTAATCTTCGTGTTGGCAAATCGATCTCCTTCTCTTGAATCATTATATCTCTATATTTTCTGATATCGGCTCCTTTTTGAGGGGTTTTCCATTGAATAAACGATGAATATATATTCCATTGAAGAATAGGATCATCATCAGATTCAGGATTAAGTGATAAAACCTCTCTATTGCTATTTTCAAGCAAAAGTCGACTCATAAGAGGTTTAGCCATATTTTTGGGCCAAAGACCACTAGCTTGCCACCCAGACTTGATATTTTGAATAGTTAAACCTTCTATTCTAGCCTTCTGATAGCAAGAAAGGAAATTGCGCTTTCCAATTGGTGAGGAATCGGATAATAGACTTAATTTATTAAGTTCGATTCGATATGCACTTTTTAGGGGTGAGAACACAGATAAATCGAGTGGTTGTAGTACGTGTGACGTATGTGGTGGGAGAAATAAGAGATATATGTTGTTATTAAAGCATTCTAACATAAATGCTGTAGTTTCATGGCTTCCGTGTCCGTCCAAAATGAGGAGTCTTGAATTTTCCGGCTGAATAGGGGTAGTTTGAGGGATATAGATCTTTTTCAGCCATTCTAAAGCTGTAGCATCTGTAGTCCATCCATTTTCTGTAGCGGTAAAGTTCCAACCCTTGAATAGAGTCAAATCTGTTGGAAACCATTGTTGTTGAACTGATTTTCCCTTATATATTACAAGGGGAGTAATGCTTTTTCCATTGGCTGAAATGCATTCTATAAAAGAGGTCCAAATTCGAGATCCAGGTTGCTTTTTTTGAATAAATCTTCGATCAGTGCTTCCTACTACTAGTCCATTAAGACCCTGACCCTCCATTATACCTGCTTCATCCATATTCCATCTGTTGGCCGGCTTAATAGCCTTGATTTCAGGGATTGCGAGGTTCCGGAACCACTTCTTAATAATATCAGATGTAGCACCTGAAACTCGTGCAGAATCGATTTGATGTTGCTTCTTAGTTCCAATATTAGGATGCCTTCGAAAAAAGCTATGTATCCATTTCTTTCCAAGTGAGGGATCCTCCCCTCGTACAATAAGGAGGTGCTCTGCCATCTCTCTGATTTGACGATGTGTAGGGCTAGTACCAAGAGCTTCCTGTACTAATATCCATTCTGCTAGTCGATTCTCCTGAATTGGAGATAACTTTTGAAGTATTTGGGCGCCTTTTTGATGCGAAACTCCACCATATATTCGATCGTGAAGTGTGGTACGTGGAACACCATAATCCAAGCTAGCTCTTCGTATGCTTGCTCCATTTGTAATCGCTCTAAGAGCCTCTGCGATATCTTCTTCGGTATATCTATTCTTCATATCACAATTATAATAATATCAAAATTTCAAATCAACTGATTAAAGCATTGTTGAGTTATTCAAAGTATAAATTTTATAATTACTCAAAGCGGTGTGGTTTTTGAGGTGGTCGAAAAGAGGGGGTGGTCGGAAAGTGGGGTAGTTGACTTAGTATCAATTTGAAATTTTAGATTCACTAGAACCACCATTGTGCTTTCAAATATTGATATCTTCTCAAAATCAAGTGCAGATGGGATATGGTGGGAACTTACAACTAAATGTTCCTTTTCTATGATGAAGTTAGCAAATAACATTTGAGAGTTTGTATCGTATGTTGTACGCACCTTGAGGTCATCTTGTTTCTTTTGCCACCTATCAAAATTTCTGCCAAGCCAAAGTCTGCTATCATCATACGACCACCCGAGCCGCGCCCAAGGATCATATTTCCTGGCTTTATATCGCGATGCAAGATATTTTTAGATTTCTATCAATCGAATTAGCACACTCTTTACCTCCAGTTGAATTTCTTGAGCCGGGGTTCCTACCAAGTATTCAAGTCCCAATAGGATGTCCTTAAAGTACCTCTTCATTCGAGTTTCTTCAATGTATCCTTTCTCAATAATCATGTTGAACATGGTCTTTTCCCCCAAATCCATAACCATTCTGCTTTCTTCATCTATACATGCGTAGAAGTCATGAACACGAAGAATTGATGTGTGATTCAACTTCTTTTGCAAATTCCACTCTCCTTGCAACGATGCCTTTTTTGTACATTTCAATTCCATCTTGACGGCAAATAACTTGTTTGTAGCTTTTTCCGCAATAGAACTCACACTTCCATAACCGCCTTTACCAATAACTTCAAGAGTTCTATATTTTTCGTGGAATGATTTTTTAATGAGATGACCTTGTTTGAAGGCAGCTTGAGGCGAATTTCGATGTAGTTTAGCTTGTCTTCGGTGGCAGCGTCGAGTTGTTCCTCCCAGAGGTTGAAGCTTGGATGACGAGTTGAAACCACCAACGTTAAGTGACAATTGGTTCGCGCCTACGATGTTGAGAATTCAGCGAGTCTATCCCATATACATCTGCAAAATTGGGGTAAATTGGCAGGATTGAATTTGTACAAGACAGAGAAATGACATGCGTGATTTCAATTAACAACTTGATGTGGAATGATAGAGGGGATAGTACGAAGATAAAGTTAAATATAAAACTCACCAGTATTTGCTGTCAGAGAAGGAGCTGAAGTATCTGGAGTATAAGACAAATTTTGCCATTTCTTAGGTGTATAAAAATTCTCTTCGATAGGCGAAGTATTCGTAGAGGCATTTTGATAGCCCATGAGTTGATTTCCGATAGTCATATTGGATGAAGTCTTGAAGTTAATGATGTTGCTTCCAAGTCTAGGTCTTTCGAATTGTAATGAGTGAACATATTTGAGGCATGGGGGATATATATTTATGTTCTAGAAATTCCTATCTGGACTGCTTTCAATTGCACTTTCCTTAATATGGATTAGGAATAATAATCTACTCAGAGAAATCATGATGTTATGGTTGGAGCTAGGGCTTCTTAAGTCTTTTTAGTCCCTTCAAATTCTATGCCCCGATGACTACTGGTCAGTCGGAATATGTCGAGCCAAAGAAACATCAATTTGAAAGTTTCCAATTGTGCAATTTTCATTCGGATTATGCGTTTCAAGGACCTTGAGTATTATTTTGTGACTAGATTGTTCATGATAGAACTTCCTTGCGTATCCCTCTGATCCCCTCATCCTTTCACTCATCTGTCAATCGCCATGACTAATGGTGGCTCAAACTTAAGCATACGTTAAAATTAAGCGCCCCCTAATTTTGAGCCGGAACCGAATTTAGAAGAAAGCCACCTTTTCCCCAGGCTAATTTTTTGATCGGCCCCACGTTTCTCCAAGTATTGTTATTGTCTGTAATGGCACATGAGCTTCGTATGTTTAAACGCCGTGTGATTTATCAAGGGAATTTCACTAGTTTATATTAGAAAGTAGGACGTACGTAGTTTAAGTGTTTTCATTAATGCTAAATAGCGAATAGAGTATGTAAGCACGATAAAACAGCAATTTTATGTTTTGAACACGAAATAGAGAAACGGATACAAGTATTATGTAGAAATGAAAATGTAGCATTTTCATGTTACTAGGATCTCAAAATATTAATGAGAGGGAATCCGTGTAACTTGATGAGCAAACTGGATATAAAAACGGATGTCGCCATGTGATAATGCAAGATGTTCCCTAGCCTACTTTAAAATCATAAATTCTTTGTCATTATCGTGATCTCACTCTGTCGTCACATGGTTTACCAAACTGTACTGCTTGGCCGAGGAGAAAGACTCCTTCTATTGGGAGTTGGAGACAATGTGTGGGGTACCTTGGATTGATCCACAACGACACTAGGTTTGAGCTTCTTCTCTTCGATTATGCCTATGATCGATGCCATAATATTGGGATCTTGAGCGACCTCTTGTGAGGTGAGAATTGTAGGATCCTCTTTTATAGGTCTAGTTCGACTAGCATTCCTAGATTTTGGCGATACAGGACGAAATGATGTTGTGGAAGGTGTCGGTACAGATGGAGATGTTGGTGGAGTCAAAGGTCGACCACTTGAAGTAACAGAAGGTTTGGAAGGGATGACTGGTGTCGGTATGGGGGTTGGAGATTTGATTGAATCTTTGGGTGCAGTTTTTGGATCTGGGAATGGCGTAGGAGTTCGATCGAAAGTAGACCCTGAGACGGAGTTATCGAGTTTTGCGGGTGTTTTGATGGTAGGCGGTGTTTCAGACGATTTATCTTTTTTCTTTCCCAGCGTGGAGAAATATGCGTGAGGAGACATCGGTTCGACTGGCGAGATTGGCGTTACAGTATTTAGAATCTCGTCGATGCTGGAATTGGTAGGGTTGTCGCGTTTTCCTCGAATTTTCGGATCAAGTCTTGGCGGGGACTTCGATTCCGACTTCTTTGACTTGACTTTCGTGTTCGGTGTAGCAGATGCTGGAGAAACGGTGCGGGAACCTTTTGAGGTTTCTGAATCTGCTTTTTCAGGAGACGATGACTTGGGATCGGCAACGAGCTTGGCCTTTGGTCTGATACTGGTGTCGACAACAAGGAGCTCCTTTTCTCCCCGACCTAGAAGACCATAAACCTTAACCTCTCCACCGCAAATCCCCAGCACTGCACTTGTTCCAGTGTAAACGGCATCATCCTCAACACCGGTTCGATTGGCAAATACAACAATGATCTCGCCCTTTTGCTCAGCTCTGATGACAGGCTCAAGTCTCGCAAGCCAATAGGCAAGCGTATCCATATCGGGTTCTTTCGGCTGTCTACTATAACTTCGAACATCTTCTCGTGTTCGCCAAGCCATGGAAAGTACAACAAGATTTGCCTGCTTGTGTATGATATGATAGGCAAATTCCCAAGCACTCCAAGGGGCTTCGAATTTGTATGGACTGTTTTGAGCAATGTCAGCAGAGGCAGATGAATCAAGATAGAAGTGAAAGTGCTTACTTAAGATCCATGCCTTGAAAAATGTTAGCAAGATTTCTATGTTTTCGGATATTTTACTCACGCTCAAATGATTTGGTTGGCCACTTACAAATTCCTATAGCAACATTGCCAAGCCCATCAATTTCGCCATCGAAGAAGCCGTCCGGGCCTTCCAAAGCCCATTTGGAATCAGTATGATACAAAAACGACTTTCTATAATTCGATATCGTTTCTCCATCTTTATTGACCGTAATTGCGCTGTTATAATACTCGGGAGAAGCTGGCACCAGGAATGATTAGCGGGTCAACATGATCGATGGGGTGGTATTTTGGCAGAAAATGTAGCCTACCTGGCCATTTGGGGCTGATGTCAACCTTTTCAGGATACCCAACGATAACCACACATTCGTATTTTAGGGCCGTAGTGCGGGCCCAGAGTGAAGAGATACCCGATGTTGTAGGTTCAAGGTATGGAGAAATATGTTGGAGCGATTTGAAGTTGTATCCTGTGCGTGATTAGCGTCAGAACCGCAAGAATACTGATTTCGAGTATGAAGGGTATTTTGACAAAAGAAAAACAGCCGAATTTCGTTCAGCTGAAGCTTTATGGATTCAATTCGAGGATGACAGCTGTGACGGACTTCAAATTGAATTCACCCAATGACTGGAGGTGATATTGAGCGATGAAAGCTCAGTAGTCAACCAGTAAGTGGCCTCGGGATTTTGTCATTGTAAATATTATTTGTGATCTATATCGAGTGAACAGAAAGATGCGGTGCTTGTCGAACATGATCTGTGGCCATAACATATTTCTCTTTCGGTCAAAGCCGCGCTGACATGGAGTCAAAATAACAATGAAGGGCAGTATTGCGGTCCGAAGTCGTACGGGAATTAAGGTGTGTCATGAGCGTACCACGGTGATCAAGCGCAAATCGGTTTCAACGAATGATCAAATTGCGTTGCGTGCACTGGCAATCAAGCTGATGATTTCTTTTGTGAGAGTCGAGGCCGAGAAAGCAGGCAGTATTATGATAAAGCGAAAAAATGGCTTACCCGAAAATGCTAATTCAGGCAGTACAAGTAAGTCTAAATCTTGCACATTTGCTTTAGCTAGGACAGCATCGGCTCGAGTTAAGTTATTGTCGACATCGCCCAAAACTGGTGAAAATTGAAGACATGCAATCTTCATTTTGATCTAATTTATCTCTAAACACAAACAAAAATGTGAAAATTTGGACGACAATGATAAGTTTCAAAATGAAGAAGAATAAGGTCGCACAAAATTGGGATCCCCCGCTTGCCATATATAAACGGCCACCTACCTAGTAGGTAATGCAGTAAGCAGAATCCTCCGATTGGTTCCATATTCAATGACTTTTAGCATTGGATCTGAACAAATCATTCAAATGGTATGGATGTGTTGGTTTTCAAGCCATCCAACTGTTGTATTCACGCAACATCAATCAACCATGCCTTATTATGTTCATATACATAGCGAAGTAAGCACCTTTGACCGCTGAGCCTAATTCAACCACTGAGTTGAATGAGAAGTGAGAACATGTATAATCGTGCCGGTAAGATGAGGATCCTATACCGAAAGAAAATAACCGCCCGGAATGCGTTTAATGCACAGTCACTGGAAAGGTTTGTGCATGAGATATTGAATGTAATAGGTATAACGGTAAGTTGGCCAACTAATTGAAAACATTCTTGATCGAGATGCACATAGATACTAGAGAAATCTTAGCGCCCGGTATAATTCGATTTCGAGGGGTTATGAACTTGATCATGCTAACCTCGCTGTTTGCCAGCTGCACTCTTATCATGACTGGGATCCTGAGGAACTATAACCTAGTCATTACGTCCCGTGTCATGTTTCTTCAGAGTGTTATTGGCTACACCATGTTAATCTTTTCCGTAATCAGGGCTTAGTGCAGAAGCAATACAAAATTGATATCCCACAAGCACTGTGATTTGTTACCGTTCCCTCGGGTCGGCGCTTAAATATTGGATACGAGCAGAGGATCATGAAGTCTACCAACACCTTGGGGTCGATAGACTTTTCCCCATAAACACGTAGAGTGCACAGTCAAATACGGGCCGCAAGGTCGGTGGAAATTCAAGCTCATAGCGTCTTAATGTTACCGGTTATCGTCTCAAGTCGAAGAATAATCGAATAATTCTGTTCTTCACTAAGTGTCACCACAAACAATAATGCCCTCAGACGAACAAACATCGAAGCCTATAGATATACCAAAAAAACGGAAGTACCATCAAGATGTATGCATTCTAAGCTCCACATGGAACCTCCCAGCTAATATACAGCAGGACTCTGGCGACAGGGTTGGTGAATATAACCCTCAAACTGGGACAAGGAATGGCCGGCACGGCTCGAGAAGATTTCAGACGACATGTGACACCATAGACAGAAACACTGCAGCGACATCAAAGGCGACGAAAACAGCTTGGAGAATTGAGCTGTGCAAAGTCAACTGCGAAAAGTTGATGAATATTAATCCTTGTGGAAGTGCAAGGATGGCGAAAAGCATCTTGACAAGTATGGTCAATGAGGAACTCGACGAAGGCGAAATGGCGGATACCGAAGACATTCATGAAACGACCTGGAGAAGACATCAATCAATGCGGTGTAAAAACAAGCTTAGAATGAAAGAGGCTGAGATGGTTTCAAACTGGACCTGCAGTCACTACTGACGTGGAGACATGTAGTCGCGGTATGCTGGTATACAGAAAGGGCGTATTCAAGAGAAGCAGAAGTATGATAAGCAGAACAGGGTGAAGGGACTGCATTTTGACATTCCATCTTTGGTTTATGAGATATCTCATAATTCCAATCCTTGAACATTGGCCAAAGACATGTAAGACTTTTCGAGGAAATTTCCAAGACATTGACATAGCCAGGAACCTGTTTGTGAAACTTGGTCAAAGCCACTGGTGAATTTTTCGTTCTTCCTATCAAAATTGAGATGCTTGATGTTCGCTGTCGCACGAACAGCCGCCCCTTTTTGTGCCGAACCATACTCCAGACTCCACGCTTACATTACCAAGAAAACAACAGTTGCCCAATATTCATACACACTCCCAAACCTAAATTCATAACTACCAAGATAGCTCTTCCCGTACTAATGATGACCTGATTGCACCAAATACGTCACCTCAGAAAGTGTATGACAGCCCAACAAAAGGCAAAAAATATCATCACCCCAATTCCAAAAATCCATTTGTCCTGCTTCGCACGTCTCTCAATCATGCGGATAGTATCGCCAGATACGCCCAAGGTATTTGCCACACTATACAATCGTTTTTGTGTCCCTTTCAACATTTCTCTCTGTTGTCCCAAATCACCTAAAACTGCTTGCCCACGAGCTAGGTATTCATCCAACGCACTATGCGTATTTTGAAAGAAAGATTGTTCTCGTAAAGCATGTGTTTCCCTTGTATAATCCCCACTGTTCATAGAAAGTTGACTTCCACCGGGTCCACCCTCTCGTCTCCACGGGCTATCCCGAGCAGCGGTCGCACTTGTTGTACTTGCATAAGGATTCTCGGGTGTAGATGCATGATGTGGTCTTCTCCCAAGCAACTCACTCCTATCTATCTGTGTTTGGTGATCTTCATTTTGCGATTTGAGAGTAGCAAACTGGGAGCGGTATTCTTGTAGTTCAGAGCGGAATGTAGTTAATCGTTCATAAGCCTTTTCCTTCTTGGAAGGATTGAGTTCGGCAGATTGGAGGGAAGCGTAAGAATCAAGAGTTCTTGAGAAGGAGGTTAGAGATGAAGATATTTGACCGAGTAGAGATGGAGTGAGGGGTTGCGATTCAGGTGGAGAAAGAGAGGAAAGATCCCGACGAAGGGAGGTGGATTGTTTGAGTGCGGTATTGAAGAGAGTGTTCTATGATTGTTAGATTGCGATCCTGAAGGAAATTAAGGGATACATATACATACCATTATGAAGGATTTGATAAGTAAAAGAAACGAAGGCCCTTGAAATTAACTGACAGTAGGTAGGCAAAAGAAGTGCGTGATGCGCTTTTCGAGTTACAGTAATGATGAGACTAGTAGCCTTATTTGAAAGTTAAACGTGGCTCCTCGAATTCTTTTGATGTGGCGGTGTTAATTGAGTTCAGGACGTCCACGGGTGGCTCCACTAGGTTAGCAAAAGGCTGAAGACAAGGCTGAGCAATGATTCTCTTAAACTTTGTCACTATTCTTTAGACTTGTAAGAAAGTTTACCTAGCAGACTTCGAACAGAAGAAACAGCACATCATAGAACAGATAGGTCATGCTGCCACACAACCCAGGCCTCTTCCAAAGGGCGAAAGAGCGCATTTCTTCGATTTTTGGGATTTTTGAAATTACTGACTTAAGAAGAAATTGTTCGAAAAAGTGCCAAGAATTTTCAAGTGAAAAGTGGGGCTCATACCTACCTCCTCCTGTGGGTGCACGGACTCACGGGACAGCTTGTAAGAAATCTCTATGGAATTCTTTGAATTTGAGATTTATAATTACTAATAATTATGAAGATTTTATATAATATTAGAATTGAATCGAAATAGTTTAAATTGAAGGTTTTCTCATTGAGTATATAATCCCTCATCAAAATATCTTATGTAATATCTAATTATTATATACGGAAAAACATATATAAAACATATGACATTTTCTATAGCTAATATTTTGTTACGATGGGTAACAGAATGCCATGTGACAAGTGTCACGTGGTGGAGTCCCCAGGAGCCAGGGCTCCAAGGAGGTCCTTGGGAGCCAGGACTCCAAGAAACTCCAACCAACATCAGAGTACGAAGATCTATATAAGGGAATGGGATTTCATTACAATGTAGAGCTTCGTGCTCAAGAACAATCATTAGTTTCATTACTATAGTTACGAGAATTGCAACCAGTTACAACCTTATTGAATTCCTACATGAAGTCTAGTCTAAACCACCTCGAGAGATCTCTAGACACTTCCACGTGACCCTAGAGGCAGCTCCCGTAACACTTTGAGCACCATTTCTGCTTCAAGTACCAATTCAATACCAACCAACGATATGGCACCCACCAGTGCATCCGCGAGCAGTCAGGCACAAGCACCCGACATCGACGATGTCGAGATGACCGACGCTCTCAAGGAAATTACCATCAACGAAACACTCAAGATTGCCTTACCAGACAAATACCAAGGAAGTCGACAGGAACTCGACACCTTCCTCTTACAACTTGAAATCTACTTCAGATTCAACGAAGACAAGTTCACCAAAAAGGAATCCAAGAGTGTATGGGCTGTATCATATCTCAGAGGAGAAGCAAGCAAGTGGATTCAACCATATTTACGAGACTATTTCGAGCATGACGACCAGGATCGCATGCAACCCACTCGAACAATCTTCAACAGTTTTGAAGGATTTAAGACAGAGATTCGTAGAATCTTCGGGAACTCCAATGAGCTAGAGGTAGCGGAAGATAAGATCTTCAACCTCAAGCAGACAGGATCAGCATTGAAGTATGCTACGGAATTCCGAAGATATGCGGGAACAACCAAGTGGGACGAAACCGCCATCATGAGTCACTATCGTAAAGGACTCAAACCAGAAGTCAGACTGGAGTTAGAAAGATCTGCCGAGAGTGTAAACTTGAACGACCTAATCCAGGACTCCATCGAATCAGATGATCGTCTTTACCGATATCGACAAAGTCAAAGATCATACAAACCCCAGGGAAATCAAAAGCAAGAGCGTTACCGCAAGAATGAGGGAAGACCACGTTACAATCCACAGAGATATGGAGACCCTATGGAACTCGACGCTACGCACCACAAAGGTGGGAATGATGATCCGGAAAAGAAACGAAGACGAGAAAATAACTTATGCTTTGAATGTGGGAAAGCAGGGCATCGGGCAGCAGAATGTCGAAGCAAGAGAACAGGGGGCAAGAAGGGCAACTTTAAGAATAAGTTCGGCAAGGGCCAACTTAATGCCACCTTCACGCCACAATTGTGTGCTGTTAGCATGACAGGGCTAGCCACGCCACCACCAGCTTACGAAGAAGAAGAAGAGGTCGAAGGCCTCTCATGGGTAAACAAAGACCCGCAGTTAGGAGAATCATGGTCTATTCGAGAAATTGACCAATGGAACCGTCGCATCTGGAGATTTGAGAATACCGATGAAGGAACCATCAACTATGACCTCAGTGTAGCAGACGCTGAGGAGGGTGAATCCTACGAGGTTCGGTACGTCGACCAGCACCGAATCCTATGGTTCGGGATCACTACAAACACATCCTTCGTGGAAAGAATTAGTGAAGAACACCTTCAATGTCCAGGCCAAGGGGAGCTATGGGAAGTATTCTACTACCATATATCTGAGAGAAATGAGAGCCAGACTCTGTTTCTTTGTAGAAAAGTTGGAGAAGAATATTGTGTCCAAGCCCAGGCCATATTACCACCACCAGTCGTGGGTACAATAATGAGAGTAACTCGAGGAACCTCCCGATACACCTTATGGAAAGACTTACTCGATGATAAAACTAGATCAGGAACGAACGCCGTTTATTTAAAAGAAGAAGAACCTCGATGGACAACATTGGATGACGAGGTCATTCAGGACAGCAAGGATGATCAAATTACACCACAGCTGAATGCTACAGGACAAGCAGGTCAAATATACTGCAAGGTCAAAATAAACGGACAAATACAGCAAGCCATGATAGATTCAGGGGCTACAGGAAATTTTATTTCACCAGAAGCTGCAAAGTACTTGGGAGTCCCACTCCAAAAGAAACAAAACCCCTACCAATTGCAGTTAGTTGACGGACAGCTAGCAGGATCTGATGGGAACGTTTCACAGGAGACACGACCAGTACGAATGAATATGACCCAACATTCGGAGGTTATACAGCTTGACGTTGTGCCATTGGGCCAACAACAGATCATCTTAGGAATGCCATGGTTGAAGGCACATAATCCCAGAATAGATTGGTCACAAGGAACAGTGACATTTGATCAGTGCAAGAACGGTCACGACGACACGTTCAAGGCGTCCGCGAGACGTAACACGCGCCAAGGAGAGTTGAACGCGAACAACACCGGCGACGTAGGACACCCAGTCCAGAGTCCTCCATTAAGAGCGAAGGCCAGTACACCTCCTCTACAAATGCAGAAGCCAACGACACGGCAGGAAATCGCAATCAAGGCAAAGGAGCCTATGATACCAGAACAGTACAAGAAATACGAACATGTTTTCAAAGAACCAGGGATCCATGAGGCTTTACCAGAACACAAGCCATGGGATCATGAAATAATATTGGAGGAAGGCAAGATGCCTGTGCACACCCCAATTTATTCAATGTCGGCCGATGAGCTAAAGACGCTCAGGGAATATATCAATGACAATTTGGCCAAGGGATGGATCAGGGAATCCACGTCCCAAGTGGCAAGTCCAACTATGTGGGTACCCAAGAAAGATGGTACTAAGAGACTAGTTGTGGACTACAGAAAGCTCAACACGCTTACCAAGAAGGATCGATATCCACTTCCATTAGCTACGGAATTAAGAGATCGATTAGGCGGAGCTACAATATTTACCAAGATGGACCTACGAAACGGGTACCACTTGATTAGAATGAAGAAAGGCGAGGAATGGAAAACCGCTTTTAAGACAAGATACGGGCTATACGAATATCAAGTTATGCCCTTCGGG